CTCCTTGGTCTTACCTCTTGTTCCCTTTCCCTGCGCCGCCGTGCTTCACTTCCTCTTCGTTCCTTGGTGTTCCTCACTCGTTTTGTTCATCCCTCCGTCGGTTTGGCATCTTCTCGTGTATACTACTGTGCTCCACTGCTCCCCGGAGAGACAGTCCGTCCTCGTGACCTCCCGCCGAATCCTCCTTGGTCAGTCGCCGCCTTATTTTCCGGCAGCCTTTCATCATCTAACTTTATGTGATCTGTCAAACCATCTAGTTGTGCTATCGCTCCTCCTCCTTGTCGTCCGTTCGTGTTCGTAGTCTGGTCCCTCCCGGCGCCGGAGGATGACTCCATGCACGCTACTTTCTGATAGCCGCACGTGTGATTCCCTCTTATCCCGACCACCCACCTCCAGTCTACTTGCGAGGGTCAACCCATCGCGCTGCGGCCATGCGCCCAGCGATGTCCTCGCCTTCATCTGGTACTTTCCCTGCCTGTCTCCTCTCGCCTCCTCGTTCTCGATGTTCCCCTCCCTCCGTCGTGTCTCCCCGGGCGGCTATGGCCGTTTGACCGGGTAACCCGACGTTTCCCCTTCCCTCGTGGCAGAAGCGCAATCCGCGCTCGTAGCGCTGCGAACCCGTCGCAGTGTCGGCGCGAGGCGGCTAGCCGAATTCGGGTGACATCAATGACCAGGTCGAGACTGTGGTGCCCATCCCACCTCCATTGTACAACTACAATATTAACTGCTCATTTGCTTATTAAACCCTTCTACGACTCAACCTTCCACGTCCTTTAGTCTCGTGTTTAAATCTTCACCGTCCTACCCTACGAACCTCAGAAGGGACTAAAGATCAGGTCTGCTTATCAACATTTCATTTATTTTTATTTGAGTTTTTTCTAAAACTAATCAATATTATTCTCTCAATCTTCTTTTGTATATATTGTCTCATCCTCTGGCTACACTATGTACAGTACGGGCCCTACGGGGGAACATCAACCAAACCTGGAACTGTCCCCGGCCCACGGGCCCACGGGGTATGTTGGCACCACAGCAGTGGTGTCAGTGCAAGGCTTGTATCGGCCCCTCGTCATGATGATGCAGGGTGATCAGGCATTGCTGACGGGGGAAAGCGGCAATGCTAGTGCCGAGCATCTTTGGCCAGTCGCTCGCACCTCCCTCTACCCCCCTCCAACCCCACATTAGCGGTGTCTAATGGCCAATATCATTGCTGCATAGCAACCAACAATATTGGCCAAGGTCCTGCCAATGCTGGCATGGAGGGCCGACTGGTTATCTCTACCTGGTAGAACACCAAGCTTGCCCAGGCACGTACGTGAGGCCACTGGGGATTGAACCCACGACCTCCTGAATGCAACTTCTGTGCCTTACCAACTGAGCTAACAGTTCTGAATCATGGCTCTTAGGGCATACCCACACTGGGCCTTGCTCCACTACACTCTCTTTTTGTGTTTTGTTTTGTTTTTTCTTTTCTTTTCTTTTTGGCCTTGCTCCATGCATGAAGATGAACCTGCGACAATGGACTCCTACTACTGCAGGGAATGGACCGCTCTGATTTCATATAGCACAGACAGGGAACACAGCATTTAGGGCTCTCCTCTGGTACAGGGGCCGAGAGAGGGCCCCTAGATCAGGTGGGAAGGTGGATGGTGACAACAATGGACAACCTGGGACAACGGACTACTACTACTGCAGGGAATGGACCGCTCTGATATAATATAGCACAGACAGGGAACAGAGCAATGGGGGGCTATGAGCGAGCAAGATTAGCATAAAAGTAGTTAGTCTGTTGTCGATAACAGCATTATGCTCCTCCGACAGCAGGAGACAGTGGCGATAGCTGTATGAGAATAGGGGGCTGCTGCGATAGGGCTGGGTTAATAGATAAGGGGCGCTCCTAAAAAGGGATGGGTGACACTAGCAGCGCCATGGGATAGAGGAGCCCCGAGTTGAGATTGAATGGGCCACAGCCCCGGGGAACAACAAACAGCATTCTTTGTATTGCACGATGTATCAAAGGGACGCTGGACCCGGTTTCCAGCAGGTGCTGCTCCCCACCAATAGATGGAGCCCCCCGACGGTGCTAGATGTGTCTGCTCTTACCAGCACACCTAGCATCCGATTGGGTTGTTCCTAAAAAAAAAAAAAAAAAAAGATGATAATATAGTCCTTCGGGACAGAGCGCAAGGATGACATGCATAAATCGAGAAGATGATAATATAAGCGTTGGGCACTGGGCCGGTGTTTTGAAAGGAAAAAAAAAAAACATGCACGAAGGTTCACTTTTTTTTTTTTTTTTTTTTTTTTTCAAAGAACATAAAAAACCACATTTGTGATCAGCGGCGGCCTAGCTCAGTTGGTAAGGCACGCAAGTGGCATTCAGGAGGTCTTGGGTTCAATCCCCATTGGCCTCACGCACCTTCCTGGGCAAGCTTGGTGCTCGCCACCTAGAGATATGCCGTTGGGCCCCCCGAGTGGCATTGAGCAGAGACTGCTGATGTTCATAGGGGGAGGGGACTGGAGGGGAGGCACGGTGACTGGCCCATCGAAGAAGCTCGTTCCTGATGCAACCGGCTGACCCCTGGCCGGTATCACCCACCTGCTGTAGCAGGTATCGCACCTGCTGGTGGGTGCAGCTCCCGCATGTTCCCTCGTTGGAGGCTTGAGCACGGATGTGGCTGCTACGGGGTTCCCCGTAATTCTATAATGACAATAAAAAAGGCCTGAAAGGCCATCCTGTCCAGATTTGACAGGTAATTGAATTGGTTGGGCTTAAAGAATTAGCCTTTTTTTTAAAAAACGAAAAAAAAAAAAAAAAAAAAACATTTGTCACGAGGCACGAAGATTCAGTCGTTTTGCTCATTTCGACAGTAGTGGAGCGAGGCCCTGTCGTTTTGCACATGCACGAAGATTCACTGTCGTTTTGCACATTTGGACAGTGGACAGAAGTGGAGCGAGGCCCACTATCTCAAATGTATCTGAATGCATTTGAGGGCAGACCAATATGTATCTGACCGCAATTTCCTCCAGAAAAATTCATTCAAAAGACCAAGTGTGAGCATTGCCCATACAGTACCGTACAGCCACATGGGCTGGGTTTTCTTCATTCTTTGGAGGGGGGGGGGGGGCATTAAATTGCTATTTATTTTCAATGGGACCCATCATTGCCCAGGGCAATAACATGACGTCCCACCTGACGTATGAGCAGGAACCAGCTGAGTCTTCAACCTGAAACAATAGGCAGAGATCCAGCCTCTACAGCTCATCAATCAACCGTGGGCATCAATGGGCCTCACTCCACTACTCACCACATGCACAAAGGACAAAAAATATGGCTGTGTATCCGCCCATGTTCTAGTGGAAGATTCATTCTCATTTTGCACATTTGACGAGTAGTGGAGCAAGGCCCAATACGTATCCCCCAACCCAATAGGAGGCAGGCACCTTTTGCACTGCAACCCTATGGGGACTCTCTTTCCAGATAAGGGTGAGGCAGGTATCTCACAAACAGCTTACGATGCTGCTCGATTCAGATTGGCGAGGAGGTGCAGGTGCTACAAACAGGGTGCATGCTTTCCAAATTAGGAAGCAGGCATCTCTTTTTTTTTTTTTTTTTTTTTTTTTTTGCTCCAATCTATTCGTGGGGAGCTGCACGTGCTGGGAACCAGGCCCGGCATCCGATTCAAGATCATATTGAAAAAAATGAGAAATTTAAAGAGAGATCCTTGAGATACCGGGGCCATTCCCCGGCTTCGGCTAAGAAAACAACTGTGTAATCTGCACAAGAACACTAAGATTCTCTGTCCCCCAAAGCTCAGATCAAAGAAACATTCAGAACAAAAAAAACACCTGCCTTAGGGCTTTCAGCAGCCCAACCCTACCTGCCTCACCCCTATACCCCGATGCCCAATCTCTACCAGGCCTCATGCCCCCAACTGCTAGCTTACAGAGTGGCGCGACCCACTCCAGAAACCCCCCACCTGCTAGGCCACAGGGCAAAGCGACCCGCCCCGGCTCCGGTCAGCATCCACTATGCACTAGCTCACCAAAAGACACTAGAGTGCCTTCCACCCTCAACAACTCCCCAGATCTCTCTACCAGGTCTCATGCCCTCGTACAGCTCGAGTTACAGGGCAGCGCGACCAAGCCCCAGCACCAACCATCGTCGTTCTGGCCTCATCTATTCGCAAACCACCAGGACTCAGGACTAAGCCAAATACCAGTCAAGCCACCAATCAGCACCATAGCTGTAGATCCCCTCATTCATCTCCTTCATGCACTGTTATACCGCGTCAAACGCGGGGACGCAGCCATTCGGGTAGCATGCTTTATGTTCTAGACAGTGAGCTTGGCAAAGGTCTTATGAAGTGGGGGACAGGCAGCCTTCTGGATGGTAGTGTCCAAAGCCAACACTCTCCCACACACCACACGCAACCCACTCACATGCGCACTCACACCCGTGTTGGCTGAAGACCTTAACTGATACGGAGTGGGAGGATCCAGCTCACTATCTCAGTTGGATGGCATCAAGAGTGCCACAGCCAGCGGTGGGGATAGAACCCACAGCCTCCTGAACGCCAGTTGCGTGCCTAACCACTTGAGCTAGGATGCTGGATGGAACCCAGATTCTTTTATCGCAGGATGAAAAAAAAAAAAAAAAAAAAACTGAAAAACGAATAGCAAGCTACTGAGGGCTGTACCACCCGAGACGTGGCCAGGAAAAAGGGCATTTCAAGCTCTAAACTACTAGCAGTGTATCTACCCATGTTCTACCAGAAGATTCATGCTCTTTTTCCACATTTGGTCAGTAGTGGAGCAAGGCCCTGGATCTCCACAACTCTCCAGGCAAAGGTAAGTACGCTTTTTCTGCTTTTTTTTCCCAAAAGTCAATACGTACGTTTTTTCTTTTCTTTTCTTTGGTAAGCCCTGCCAACGAGGCAGGGCAGTCCGTTCTAAATTTCGTTACTTGGGTGTAGTAAACAGCAGAATGCTTCGATACTGCATTTCTGGAAGAGGAAACAGAGGACTCGGAGGAATCAGAAGGCAAGGAGTCCGAGAGTGAAATGGACGAAGACGGGGAGGAGGAAGAAGAGGAAGAGGAGGGGGAGGGAGAAGAAAGAAAAGGGGATGATGGTACAGAGTCAGAAATGGAACAAGGGCCAGAAAAAGTGGAAGGAAAGAATGGGCTCGAAGAAAGCGAGGACGAGAAAGATGAGGAAGGGGCAGAAGGAATGGAAGAGGGTAGAAGGGGGAACGAAGGAGAAGCGGAGGAGGAAGGAACGAAAGAGCCTTTGGATTGGGAAGAAAAGGTTGATCTAGAAGGTAAGGAAGAAGAGGAGGAAGGGGACCTTCCGAGTCAAGAAGAAGGAAGTAAGACAATTGAATTTGAAAGGGGAAAGGAGAACTCCGTCGATGAGGGAAGACGGGAAGAGGACAAAGGGGAATCTAGTCACCCCCGGACAGATGAATTGGCCAGGGAGAAGGGCGAGGAAACAGGTAAGCCCTTAGAAGAGGACGGGGGTATGATGATGAATGGGAGGAGCAAGGACAAGAAGAAGTGAATCAGGGCGGCAGTGAGAGCGAATCAGAGGATGATCTGTTAGGAGTAGTGGGTGAGTCCCTACTAGAAGAACCGTCGCCTGCCCAGGAGATAATTCAGAAAGGGATAGGGCCTATGTGGACTCTCCCAATGTTACCCCTGAGTAATGCGTCGGAGGAATTTAAGCTATATTGCAATGACGTATTTGACTCGGAAAAACGGGAAGGATTCCAACCAGTCGGCCTTTTGGAAGGGCAATCTACCGACGGGGGACAGAGGAAGCAAAAAGGGGTAAGTCGGGCAGTGACCGACCCAATGTACCACAACACAATCGCAGGAGGTTCCCCCTCCAGAAAGGCCAAAATAAATGAGACTGTAGGGGTGGGAATTGTCAGGGAAGATCTGACAGAAACTTCACCTGAGCCAGGGAAGAACGGAAGCCTCGTAGGTCGAAAGCGCAGCCATATCTATCGGGCTACTCGTAAGGAGTTATCCCATGCGGAACCAATGAAAACGCTGACAAAGGCTGACAGGGCGAAAGGAACAGTGAAGAAGTTCCTGGTTCCATTGATTTGTTCGGATGTGCCTCATAATGGCACTCTTGTTCTCACTAGACTTACAAACAGTGAAGCGCTGGAAATCCCAGCTATCCCAGTCAACTCAACCTCGACAGACGAAGAGGTAGCAGAGTTGACAAAGAGGCATGTATTACATCATAGGGGATCGGTGGTGCATTTACCTACCTTCAAACTGAATCGATATCTGTCGTTAGTGAATAAAGGGGCCCCGGTGGTGTTTCACTTTGCTCTGCTGGGTCTCAAAACTATCACAGACTCTTTTGAGAAGTGGTGTGACCTGAGGGTCCACTTGATCCCACTGCAGGAATTGCTGGCGAATCAGTCAGAAAGGACTTCGCCTCTCCAGCTTCCAGCAGGAAGACAAGGAACACTGGTCTCAGAATGTGTCAAGCACGTTGGACTGCAGGACAGACTAACTAATGAAAATATCTCAGGCCTGTTGACAGCAGTCCGAAACGGGAACCCACATCAGAAGGAACAAAGGAGCAGGAAGCAGGGGACCTCGCCAGCCTCCTCGAGCCGTATTCAACAAAACGGCGGGTGCAGACTAGATGGTCCAACCGCCTAAACTCCGTATTGCCTCTTGGAATATACGGGGTTTGAGAGACACTAATCGAAGACTTAAAAGATCGCGTTTTCTCCAGTGGATTCACTCTAATAATGTGCAGATCGTAGGATTACAAGAGACAAAGGTTAATAATGATAAAATCAGAGGAGTCAGGGCCTTTTGGGACGGCCCACAGGTTTGGTCGCCCGCGGTAGGCACTTGTGGGGGGGTGGCGGTGCTAATAGATAAAAATTTATATATAACAGAACTCGACTCCTTCTCGGATACAGAGGGCCGCATTGCCTGGTTGAAGTTCCAACTAGGAGACGAAGAGTGGGCAGTAATGTCCATCTACGCCCCGGTGGAACTTAATCAGAGAGTGGATTTTCTGGCTAATCTCCCCAGCTGTGTACCGGACAAAGAGAACTTGATCCTGCTGGGGGATTGAAATACAATCCTGCTTCCAGGATTGGACTCCCTGTCCAGACACCCAGCACGAGCAGACGCAGAAATGCTCTAAGAATTTACAAAATCACAGGCGCTGACCGATGTATTCCAGATTTTGAATCCGGATGCAAACGGGTTTTCATGGTACGGGCCGCGCCCCTCTAAAAGAGCACAAGCTCCTCGTAGCCGGCTGGATTCTATTCTGGCCAGAGGATCCCCGTGGGACAGGTGCTGTTGGTCGGATGTCCAATATGCGTCCCTATCTGATCACTACCCAGTCCTTATGGACGTTTTAGCGGTTGACGTAGTAGAGAAGGAGAGACTCCCTTTCAGGCTTAATGTTATTGAAGGATGAAGGGATCAAGTCGTGGGTTGTAGACCAAATGCGCTGTTGGGAAGAAGCAAAGGACTTGTTTGAGACTCATTCAAGTTTAGAGTGGGCGGAAGGAGGGATAAACATAAAGAGAGCCGCTCTAATGAATTTCTCAGGAATGAAAGTTGCCTCTCGTGCGTGGAAGGAAAAACAACTTATAAAAGAAATTGAACAGGCAGAAAGAGAGATGGGAGGTGACCCATTCTCTGGTTACTACTGGTCTGAAAAAAGAAGCCAAGCAATGTTAGAATTAGAAAAAGTAGAAGTTAGAAAACAGTCCGAATGGTTGGACTGGCTGAAGCTAAGGGGGATTATCAGTTACGATAGAATGACCAAGATTTCTTTCCGGTCCTTGATCATCAGACAATCCAAATCCCTTATCAGGGAGTTAGCCCACCCGTTTGCGATAGGTTCGCTGCTTGCTACGGATACGGAGACAATGTGCTCTTTCGCGTTCGATTATTTTAGTGACATTGTCACCACAAGAAGACCATTCGACGCCTGTGACACTGACCTATCCACTAACAGCCTATTCTGGGACAGAACCACGGTTAGACTTTCGACGGGGATCGTACAGATGTTAGAAGAGCTGTTCACAGTGGAACTTGAAGAACTAAGGAAAGCAGCCAATCAGATGGCGAGAGGTAAATGCCCTGCCTTGACGGCCTCCCAGTGGAACTCTACGTGGAATGCTGGGAGGCCTTTGGCCCCTTCTTGTGTGAGGTGTACAATAACATAAGAGAAGGAGGCTCTCTTCCACACGGTTTTCTAAAAGGATATGTTTCGTTATTGTATAAAAAAGGAAGCAAGTCGGAAGTTAGGAATTATCGACCAATTTATGTCCTAAATGTGGCATATAAAATTTTAGCCAAAGCCCAAACCGTCAGATTGGGGGAGCACCTGCCCAAACTGGTAGGCCTGGAACAAGGGGCCTTTGTTAAAGGACGTAAAATTTTGGATAACATAATGACTACCCTGCAGGCCCTAAAAAAAAGAAAAAAGGGAGATCGCAGTCCTTCTCCTTGATGCGGAGAAGGCTTACGATAAAGTTGGTTGGCCCTTTGTTTTCACGACCTTAAACAGAATGGGCTTTGGCCCCAATTTCCAGCACTGCGTAAAGACCATGTACGCAGTCTTTGGGAGAGCACTGGTGCTTACTTCTGCGACCTTCTCAATTATGTGGTTCCCCCTCACAGTTTCACTACCTGGGGGACAAGGCGTACTTAGCAATAAAGAGAGGGGCGGCTCGCTATTTATGGAAGCCCGATGCCAGGGAACAACAAGGATTCATATATAAAGTGGCATGGGATATAGTCTGTCAACCAAGGGAGCAAGGTGGATTGGGGTTGCTGGATCCAAGAGATCAGAACCTCGGTCTACTGGTCAAGTGGATTATAAAAGCTTGCTTCCAAAAAAAGCTTAAACAGTGGGTTCCTTTGGCAGAGTACATCTTGAGGAAAGACTGGGACTTGGTGGAAGGGACCAATGTGTGGGCCTGCGTGCTACAAACGGAGTTCGCCAAAAAGAGTGGACCGAAATTTTGACTGCATGGCCAAAGATCAAGCCTGGAAGATGGAGGGAACCATGCACGAAGCTCGAAGTGCTGAACCAATGCTTGTTTGACAATAATCTGATCAGACAGGCATCGGGGACTCCCTTCGGGACAAAGGACAGAGCAGGGAACTTTGGCCGCTCATGGATGGAGAAAGGGGTCTTCCTGGTTAAACACGTGTGGGATGGGGAAACACTAAGTTGGTGCTCGACAGGGGAACTACGGAGGAAACTACCAAGAGTGCGTAAGTTGAAAAAACACTATAATGAGCTGCTAGCAGATATTCCCCCTCATTGGGAAAACCTCATAAAGGAGAGTACGGAGCACGCGATGGGTACGTGGTTACTCCAGCCAGATGACCCACAGTTTATTCTGAAGGTTTTGGGCCCAGACCTCCCAAAAGGCATAAAGATGGAACAATGGAGGAAAGGGAGGTCCCTCAAGGAGGGTGTAGAACTGGTCAGAGAAAAGGAACTCTCACTGGCGTCCACAGTGGATTTGCTAGAAGTAAGAGTATGGGAAGCTCAGGACCCGACGGCCAAGCAAGTGGTTTTGTTGGACGGACAGACAGAGCATTACAAGGTGGAGCCACTGCTGTATGGGTGGAAAGGATTAAGGGGAAAGACAACACCTCTGATTCACTACCGGCCGAAGATTGGGGTGATGCAGTTTCCTCTGAAGAAGACACGACCACAAAAAGTAGCTCTTACGAGATTTCAGAAATCTTTGGGAGTAGCGAAGCCTCCCCCTGACTTTGGAAGATTGTGGAATTTGTTAAGGAAGGTTCCTTCACAGAGACAAGCAAGCCTTATGTGGGCTCAAACATTGGCAGTGATACCCTCGGCGGTTTGGCTAAATCATAGAGGGATGGACCTGGATGTGACATGTGTAAGATGTAACGGGGGGAGGGAAACTACGGAGCATCTGTGGCTCCTCTGCCCCCTGGCAGATGAGTTATGGAGATGGTGGAAGCTTCAGTGGGAAGAAGGAGGAGGCACATAGTGGGAATGGTCGGACGATTGGATTTTGTACGCCCTCCCACCCTCTACTGCTAAACTTACGAACAAATGGGGACATGTGGCGCTTGTCTGCAGAGGGATACTGCTTGAGATAATATGGAAAGCACGGAATGCCAAGGTTTTTAGAAAAGAACAGATGTCTGTTCAACAACAGACTTGCTTGGTTAAGGAAATGCTTAGACTGACGGTACTGACCGAATGGAGGAAATCCAAGCTGAGAGCAGGTCAGGGGCTCTATTGGTTCCGAAAAGTATGGACAGAAAGAGATTTTCTGGCTTCGGTTTCGCCGGATGGTAACTTGAAAATATCAAAATGGTTAACATAGGTCCAGGAGCGGTTGTCCGAAGTTAGGCCAACATTGTATTCTGGGCGGAGATATCGGAATTGGTCGACAGTCCTTTGTATCCTAAGTCTTATCGTTTTCGAGTTACAGAGAATAATACTAGGATACTCAGCTGTCTGATTTAAGTTGAGCTTGCCTGTCAATAGAGATCTCACCCTGCACTTTTTTGGGGACATGATAGGTGCTGAGTTTTATCAGCCAAAAGGCTGCGGATAGACAGACGTTCTCCACTTCAAGGGACAATCCCTTACTTTTATTGAGATTCAAGGTTATTCTTTGGAGAGCACGGGTCATAGGAAGGAGACACTGAAACCGGAGTCTAGTTAATGGGAAAGGGAGTCGGTCCCAGCAGCGAACAAAGTAGAGATGAAAGCTAAACAAGCTAATGCTGCCAGGATAACTCCGGGTTGAATTGTGAGGTCCCCGGCCTCCTTCTTATGAATTTTGTAATAAAGACATTTGCTTTCAAAAAAAAAAAAAAAAAAACGTAAAGTAGGTTTGTTTTTTCTTTTTTTTCTGAGCCTTTTAACAGATGAAATGCAGCGACCGGTTGCTCACTGCTGCGACCTCCGTCCGACGTGGCGTGTTAACAGCCACTTTGGAGAAAATTAGCTGGGCGAGGTACTGGTGGTTTAAAGAAGAGGAGGTCGTGCTCATTCTTTTGGGC